TTAATAAAAATTTTTGCAATAACTTTACAATTAGAGCAACTCTTACAGAAAAAATCTAAAAAATTTGAAAAAAATATATGTTAAACTATAACTAATAAACTTTATTTTAATATAAAAATAAAAATTATTTTTCAATAAAATTATAAATTTTAATATAAAGAGAAAATTTTAATTTTCACTATACATTATTAATAAATTTAGTTATTAAGTTATTACTTTTAATCACTACTATATCTTAATAATATTTTTTATAATTAATAATTTTTTATTAAAATTTTTTTGAAAAAATTAATTATAAAAATTTAAAATTCTTTTAATCTTTTTTATTTGTTATTCAATAAATATTTACTTATATAAAATTTTAAATATATATATATAATAATCTAGCAAATATATTTAGTTAAAATTATTTTATTAAATTTAATTATAATAATTTTTTTAAGTTTTTTATTATTAATAATTTTAATTATAAAAATGTAAATTTGTATTATTTTAATTATAAAAATGTAAATTAGAATAATTTTAATAAATAATCTTAATTAAAATTATTTATTATACTTTTAGATAAATTTTATATCATTTAAATAAATATTTATAGAAAAAATTAAAAATTCTGATTTTTTATTATGTATTATATTTTTACTTTTCAGATCTGTAAGATTTCTAACTCTTATAATTAAATTATATTTTATTCTTAATCAAATAATACAGATTAATAATATTATAATTATAATTAAAATAATTGAAAGACTTAAATAAAAAGTATCTAACTTGAAAGTTTCTATTTATATAATTTAATATTTCTTAAAAAAATTTAATTTAATACTTATTATCTATTATAGATTTTGCTTTTATAATTCATTATATTATAACTTATTTTAAATAAATACAAAAATATATTTATCAATATTGATCTTACATAACTTTTCTAATGAAATAATTTTTCAAATATTCTAAAATACTTAATTAATAAGATATTATCATGAAATATCACAATTATATAAAAGTATAATAAAGTATCTCTATAAGATTCATGTTTGAAATATCTTTATTATATAAGAACTAATTGTACTTAACTTGTTTACTAAAAACTTTAATACTAGAAATATCAAGAAATTCTTGAAATTTATCTTTTCTATAATTGTATTACAATAGGATAACTCTTCAATTTAATATGTAGATAAAATAATTAAATTCCTGATTAGCCTTCTTACTTGCTAGATATTAATACTATTGAGAATTTGTAGACTATAATTAATATAGTTAATTTTTTAATGATAAAATTTTAAATGATAGTTCAAATAGAATATGGATTGAATAAAAATATCTTTTTTTAGTTAGCAAAAAGTATAAAAAATCATGTTTTGACAGTGATTGAACAGGAGGAAAAAAATTGGCTATTGATTTTTATAAATAGCTAATAGTCATATTTGATAACATGTGTACATAATTTGTATACATGTTAATAATAAAAATAAAATATCTTATCTGTTATATTAAATTCCAGATATTTGTATCAATCACTATATAATTATTATTTAATTGTTTATAATCAAAAAAACTTATTGCCATTTATTCGCACAGTTATCATATATAATAATATATTAAATATTATAGATTAGAAGAGGAGAATATATCAATTTAAATTATACAAAGAATAGTATTGCTTGAATTATAAATAATTAAAGAAAAGCAAAATAATAAAGTAGAAGAAAAATGAATCTTGAAAGTACTAATAAAAGAAATTAACCAAAAAATTTCTTTTCTTGGATTCTTAACTTAAAGTCGCGTACAAAATTCTGTATATGCTTCTAGTTTACATGACGTTGGTATTTATATTATTAATGATAATTTGAGTTTAGTTAAATAGTTAATATCTTACGATCTTCATTATCAGTAACAATACGAAATACTCTTCATATTGTAAGCGCAAAATTATCAAAAGCATGCATTCTCAACGATATCTTTTAGAAAGCCAAGAATTTATATCAATATCACTAGTGGTTTTTGATAAATATACCCGCAACAAATACATCAAAAAGAATTCTAATATTTTATATAATAATCACAAGTTTTAAATTAGAAAAAGGGGTAAACATGCTTATCACAAAACTATAAAGAAATCTTAGTCTCATATTCTCCGATTTTATCTTGGAATTTCTTAAACTGATCGAGCAACAATTTTATCTCATCCTCGATTTGGTCAATATCGATTTCGTTGATGGAAGCACGAATTTCACTCAAGAAATCTGTTAAACTCTTGACAGTTTCGTGCATACGATCATGCTCATCGATCATTTTACGTAATAAGATTACTAAGTGAGCAGGACATAATGAACCACAAACAACTATTCCAGAACCTACAACTTTCTTTAATATTTGATCATTGGTTTAATTAAGTCGTTATTATTGCAGCTTCATTTGTGTTGGAGATATAAAATAACATACCTTAGTAATGCTTAAAAGCTTCCAATATGCGCCTAATGTTCCAGCGAACAATACAGCGCTACTAGAAAAAATAATTTTTATAATTTGTCAAATTTTGAGGATGAAAAATTTCAAATTCGAAAAACATACATTGTTGTAACTCCGCATATAATTTCTAGCCTCTCTTTGTCTTCATTTAAAGATTGTATTTTGGATTCTAAAAGAGAATTCATTTCGCTCACAAAGGGTTCAAACTTTTCAAGACAAGTTTGGAGAACACCGAGATTGCCTAGTAACAATGTATGTAAAAAAATTTATTCTCAACAAATAAATAGTTAAAGGAAGAGAAATATTGAAACCATTAAAATCCTCTATTTGTTTCCCTCTCAAGTTTTTGCAAATTTTTTCCAGAATATTCCTGAGATCTGTAAGTTTTTCTTTGGATCGTTTCTTCTGATCATCAGTCAAAGGATTGTTTCCGACTTGTGCGTAGTCGTTTTGCAAAAAGTGAAAAGAACATGTAGCAGCTAAAATTGCTAGTGCAACTGGCCAAACCTTGTGGGCAATCTTATTAAAAGACGTTTGGAATTAGTAAGAATGTCAAAAATACAAAGGAGTCATTTTATAATACCGGTGAATTTCCTTTGCCCCTGCGCTTATAATCGAGAAGCGTGTTGAACGTATTAACGATTTGTTGAATCCATTCCACATTTACTATTGATTTGACAGCTGCGCGAAACAAAATAAAAGTTTTTCCGTCTTCTCTAGCAAATAATCGACCAACCATTCCGAAAATTTCCCTAAAGTATCAAGAACAGAAATCGGCAATTTACTCGCGCCCTTCAACAAGTATTTAATGGCATTGTGGAGAGTTGTAATTAACGTTGTTGCCACGGGTTTAATAGGGCGCTCATTAGTAGGAGAGTTGTCTGAAAGAAAGTCAGCTAGAGTTTCTGTGGATGAACAACCCTAAAACATTGACAAGGATTATTACATGGACAATTTTATAATAAAGATAGGCTAAGACACGATACCAAAATATAATCCAATTCTCTAGTCGTACTGGCGATCTTAAATTTGCCATTATGAAATGAAATATACGTTGGAAGGAGCTCCATTAGATATATGAAATGAGAAGCGGCTTTCTTATATGGATATAGGTTTCGTTGAAGAAATCTGCGATATACAGTGCGTTACAAAAAAAACCATAATTACTATTTTTACTTTTATTCAATGAATATTTATTTAATTCATATAAAATTTTAAATATATATACTTGATAA